TTTTTTTTTTTTTTTTTTTTTTATTATTTATTTATATTTATTTATTTATATTTATTTATATTTATTTTTATTTATTTTATTTATTTATTTATTTATTTATTTATTTATTTATTATTATAAGGGTTTATATTATATAAGGGTTTATCTCTTTTATTATATATAATAAGCATACAACTTATTAGGGTCTAGTAATAACTTGGCTCTTTTATCTACTAGGGTTTAGGGTTTAGGGTTTAGGGTTTAGGGTTTGCTGCTTATTCGTAAACAACAATATTCTTTTTTATTTCTTTTTTTTTTTTCTTTTTTTCTCCTTTGTCTTCTTTGCAGGTACACAACCCTAAGGGTTTAGGGTTTAGGGTTTAGGGTTTAGAGAGACAAGCAGAGGAGACAAACCCTAAACCTGTAGACATCAACCTGCTCCTCTAGCAGCAACAGCAGCAGCAGCAGCAGCACATGCACTAGTTGCGACTTTGTTGCAACACCAGCTGCTGCTGCTGCTACAGCTGCAGCAAATGCAGCAGCAGCAGCAGCAGCAGCAGCAGCAGCAGCAAACAGTAGAGACAGAAGGAGCATATCTAAATATTTAAACAAACAAAAGACGTTGCGGTTCATTTAATAAAAGGAGCAGCAACAGCAGCAGCAACAACAGCTGCTGCTGTTGCTGCTGCTGTGTTGCTGCTGCTGTGCTGCTGCAGCAGCTGCAGCAGCACCACGTTGGTAGCTGTTTGCTGCAAGACAGCAGCAGCAGCAGCTCTTCCTCCCCTCACAACGAAAAATAGGGACGGACATTTTTTATTTAAACAGTGCAGCGCACAGCAACAACAGCAGCAGCAGCAGCAGCAGCAGCAGCAGTTGCTGCTGCAGTTGCTGCTGCTGCTGCTGCTGCAGCTGCGTTGTAACAAAGAAGTCACATATTGTCTCTAAGTGTCTCCTTTTAGCAGCAAAAGTATCACGTCAAGCAACAAACATAATCACAAGATAGACACTCACCCTGCTGTTGCTGCTGCTGCTGCAGTGCTGCTGCAGCATCAGCAGCAGCAGCAGCAAAGAAAGCAGCAGCTGGCCCATAGAAACTATAGCAGCAGATATGCTTCTGCAGATCTATATCTGCAGTTGCCTGTATCTTTCTTCCCTCCGTGCCGTTTTTTCTGCTGCTGCTGCTGCTGCTGCTGCTGCTGCACCGGCCTAACCATTAGAAGCACGATAAGGAGCAGCAGGAGCAGCAGGAGCAGCAGGAGCAGCAGGAGGAGGAATAGGAGGAGAAGAATTATTTAGTGTTGCTGCAGCAAACCTGTAGTATGTATTTGCCATAAAAAAGAAGCAATTGTATCTCTTAGTATTATATTAGGGGAATAATTAAACACAGGATGTCTCTCGTATAATTCACGAGGAGCAGCACGTAAATTAGGGTCAGGGTGCAGCAGCAAACGAATCATGTGCTGCAGCAGCAACAACAACAACAACAACAACAGCAGCAACAGCAGCAGCAGCAGCAAATACACATGCAGCACCAATTATTACGAATTATGCATGCAATAGGATCTCTTTTATATAATTCACGAGGAGCAGCACGTCAATTAGGATCAAGGTGCAGCAGCAGCAGCAGCAGCAGCAGCAGCAGCAGCAGCAGCAGCAAGACTTACCATAACAGCTAATGGTGTATCATAACTACAAACACTAAAATCTAAATCTTCTATCCTTACGGATGCTATCTTCTCTGTATAAATAAATAAATAAATAAATAAATAAATAAATAAATAAATAAATAAATAAATAAATAAATAAATATATTTATTATTGTATATATTATTCATAATGCAAACAGCAACAGCAGCAGCAACAACAGCAGCAACAACAGCAGCAACATATGGTTGTATATGTTGTATATAATCAATAAAAATACACAAAAAAAAACAACAACAACAACAACAACCCCACCAACCCCATCACCACCACCACCATCAGCAGCAGCAGCAGCAACAGCAGCAACAGCAGCAGCACGTCGTCCAGTAGATCCTCACCAATTATATATAATTAGTATAATAAGATATAAATATACAATATAAACACCCCTAACATCCCAACAACCCCACCATAATAAACACCATAAACACCATCAGCATCAGCAGCACAATCAGCAGCACAATCAGCAGCATCAGCAGCAGCAGCAGCAGCAGCAGCA